CCTCGTCAGCGAGCAACCAGCGGACGCGATCCTGTTTGATGGCGCGCGCGGCGGTGTCGAGCTGATGCGGGAAGAGCTCGACGCGACCTCCCACGAGGCTCGGCATCTCGCCCTGGCGGCGGAAGTCGAGCAGGCGAACACCGTCGATGCGATTGAGCACGTGCTCGTGCAGATCGAGGCTGCCATCGCGAAGACGCTCGAGCAGCGAGGGGGTCGAGAGCACGGGCCAGAGTTGCTCGAGCTCGATGCGATCCCCCTCCATGAGCACGGCGTACGCGCCATCGATCTCGATGATCGCGTCGATGATGCCGTCGGGTCCCTTGACCACATCGCCTGGTTTGAAGACGACGGGTTGGATCGATTTCGGGTCGGGGGTCAACCTCATGCGCGACATGGCGTCGGGGAAGAAAACGTCGAGGAAGCGTCCCTCGACGTTGACCACGACGCCCACGCCGAGCTCGGGGTTGTGTTTATGAAACAGTTTCGTGCCTGGTTCCCACATACGGTTTTGACCTCGGAGGACAGGGGGTGGGATGGAAAATCAGTGCGGACGTCGGGCTTTAAAGCGCGCGGCTTGCAGCATGCCGATCTCGAACAGATCGCGCATCACTTGCAAGAACAGGCGGCGCGCTTCGTAGACCTCGACGCCGTGTGTCTGGATATGCAAATCGCGCTCTTGCGTAAAGCGCTCGTAACGCTCCTCGCTGCGCGCGGTCCATACTTCTGTGAGATCCTCGCGCTCGAGGATGTCGAACCCCGCCGCCTCGAGTTCTCGCTGGTAGTTCTCCATATCGACGAGTGATGGAGCTTCCAGGATGCGCGTGATCATGGCGCGTTGAGGTTCCTCGAAGGGGCGCGTCAGGATGAGATCCTCGACGAGCAACTTCCCTCCGGGCTTTAGCGCGTCGAAGGTGTTGCGCCATGCAGGCGCGCGATCCTCGAGGTGCAGCATGACCATCAGCGAGACCGCGTGATCGAAGTGCTCGGAGGGGAGCGGGACACCGCAGATGTCACCGATGATGACCTGGAATTGCTCTTCCATGCCGCAACGTCGCGTGAGCTCGCGGCCGATGGCAGCGAGCGCGGGTTGGATCTCGACGCCCGTGACCTCGCAACGCGTGCGCTGGGCGAAGTACCTGGCCGCGGCGCCAAGGCGGCTCCCGATCTCGAGGAGTTTATCTCCCTCGCGCAGCGCGAGCAAACGCACCGCGTCCTGGCAAGATTCGGTGCCGTAGTCGTAGTAGCGGTCGAATTCACCGAGGACGGTGAGCTCCTCGTAGTCGAGCGGTCCGAACGCCTTGTTCGCTCGCGCGAGCGCATCTCGAACGCCGCCAATGCGGTGGTCGTAGAGCGCCTCTGGCAAGACCTCGCCGAGGCCACACTGTTCGGTGTCGACGAAGTCTTCCACGGGGCGAAGCTCGTCGATGACGCCCACGCGGTGGAGCATGGTGACGGCTTCTCGCAGCGCAGGCGCCGAGACCTCGGAGGCGCAACGCCAACGCGTCTCGTCGAGCCAGGAGCTGACCTGTCCGGCGTCGAGCTCGAAGCGCTCGGAGATGTAATCGATGGTGCGAGTCCTCGCCGCCTTCATCTCGTGGCAGCGCCGCTGCACGACGGTGATCATATCGTGGAGGAGCTCGCCGTGGCTCGCGATGACATCTTCGTGCGCAGCGATCAAAAAGGCAGGCCAGGGCGAGGGGCGGACGCCGATCTGGCGCCACTCTCCGGCGTCCACGAGCGGCCTTGTCATCAGCCGCTCCCACAGAAAGCCAGAGGCTCTCCCTTCCGCCATCGCCTCGCGCGCGCCGTCGATGTTGCCCACGATCTCGAAGCGAGGTTCGCGTGTCTCGAGCCAACCTCGCGCGTGCGCCTCGACAAAGGTCATCAGGTGCGAGCCCGAACCGTTGCGGCTGATGGCGAAGACCTCGCCGGCGAGGTCTTCTGGAGTCTGGAAGGGCGAGTCCGCGTGGACGTGGATTCCCCAGTAGAGGGGGGAGTCGACGTAGGTCCCTATGACGCGGATCTTGCTGCCCTTCGAGATCGCGCGCAGCACCCCGTCAGCGAGCAAGACGGCGACGTCGATCTCTCTGGCGTCGAGCGCCTTGCACATCGCGCCGGTGCCGCCTGGGAACTCGCGCCACGTGACCTGATAGGGGCGTCGCGCGAAGTCATCTTGCGAGATGGCGATGTTCCAAGGGGCGTTGAAGTGTTCGGGGACGCCGCCAACGCGCAGCTGGGTTTTTAGAGGGGAAGCGTTCGATGTCATCGGTGTTGTTCTTTTGGAGGTGCGGCAAGAGTGGGAGCGCTCGGAGAGCGCGCGAACGGTTCCACAAGTTTGCGCGCGATGCAAGCGAACGACCAGAGACAAAAGGAGAGCGCGCCGACTCCATGTCAAAGTTCGTCACCGAACCTGGAAACACCGAGAGGGCGCGCTCTCCTCTTATCTTTGCTGTTTGACCCCCATCAGGATCAGATCAGCGCATCGACCACTCACCAATCGTAGTGCGGCTCGTAGTGCTCCTCGTGGATCTTCTCCATGGCGTAGTTCAAGAAGTCCGAGAGCACTTCGTTGGGGATGTCCTCGACCTTGTCCTCGAGGTGACCGTAAGAGTTGATCGGGAAGGACTTTGGCTCGAGGTCATCGTGCTCGTCGATAAAGCCGTTGAGGTCATCGATGAACTCTTTGGTGGAGCTCTTCCCCGGGTGAGGTTGCACGTAAAGCTTGACGAGCCCCTCGGTGTTGACGTCCATCAACGCGTAGCCGATCGAGCCATAGCGGATGTTGATACCGCCTGCTTGACCACCACCGATTTGAGACTCGCAGCCGAGATCGCGGGCAGCGATGATGACATGTTCGAGCGACTCGCGGCGCTCGCTACCTCCGAGTTCTTCGGCTTTATGAATGATGGCGAGTTTGTCCATGCGTGCTCCTGTATGGATAGGAGGATTGTGACAGGGACCGCGCACGACCGATTGCATGCCCTTTACAAGAGCATGGGTGTGCTGTGCGGTCCAAAGACCGCGAACTCGACCGCTTCGCTTCGAAAAGTCGTGCGTGGTATGGCGCCTGAAGGATGTCGCCTGGCGCTCGCACGGATTCGCGAGGGAAGTTCGCGTCGCTCGACTCGATGCTCTCTCGTTTGGACCACCTGGACCACGGGAGAGATGAGGAGCGCGATTCCCTTATAATCTTAACACCTTGCAGCGCTCAGTCAAACGACTGCCTCAGATTAGTCGTCAAACACGTCGTTGTGGCAAGAGGTGCGCGACCTCTTCGCGGTAGAAAGAATAGGCCAGACCTCCCATCTCTTCATCCCATGATTCCAGGCAGATACGCGCTTGCCCATCGCCGCCAGTCACGAGCCTGAGCGTCCCATAAGGCCACCACTCCTTGTCGAACCTCGCGAGCGTCTCGACTGTTTTATAGCGGTTGTAGAGGTCCTCGTATCGGGGCATCACCGAAGGATCGTATGGCCACGCTTCATCTCGGACCGGGCGTTCACAGGGAGTGCGCTCCCAGCTCCCTTCGATGGTGTCAAAGAACCCACCTTCGTGTGTAAAGGAGAAGGTGCCATCTTCTCGGAAAATGAGCTCGCCGTGGTTCCACGGTGCCTGGCCGTTAAAGTCACTTTCTGCCCAGTGTTGAGAGATCAGCACCCAGCGTCCGGCGATCAAATCACCCTCGACCGCTGGTTCGGGACAAAAGGTATCGAGAGTCGCGCCCATCGAAGCCAACTTTCTCTCGCAATAACCCTGGATCGGCCGAATACCGACCCTCCCATCCGCTATATATACGATCTGGTATGACGAAGATATCAGGGTCTGCGCCATGCTCGAGCAGCAACTTCGCCGCGTCAGGATCTTCACAGTACATGGCCATCGCGAGCGCGGTCTCGTTCAGGAGAGTTCCTTCCCACGAGCAGTGCGCGGAGTTCGGGTCGATGCCCGCCTCGAGCAGCGCATCGAGTATGGGCGTGCCCTTGGCACGTAACGACTCATCGATGTTGCGTTGGTAGATGACGAGGTGCGTGAGCGGGGTATCTCTGCGCGCGTTGGCCAGCTCTTCGTCCGACATGTCCTCGAGCGCACCTCTCAACGCGTCGAGGTTTCCTTCGCGGATTGCTTCGGCTGCTGTCTCGTAACTCATCATAAACCTCTCTTCTGCAATCACTCGTGGTAGATATCGTCGAGATTCCTTCCTCGGCCATAAGCTCTCTATCTTAGGCGCTCGCGCATCTCGTTCACCACTTTCAAACATCGTATCGCGATCTTGTCTGTCGCTGTCATCACACCATCGCTTGACGAAAAAGGCGCCCGGGATAAGACTGCGAGCGCCCGAAGTGAATGTTTTGAAGAGCCCAACTCAACCCGAGAGAGGAGCGCATATGTCGAACGAGTCGAAGCACCCGGAAGAGGTCCTGAAGTCGATGGGGATCGAGCTCCCCGAGGCCCCCGCGCCTGCCGCATCCTATTTGCCATGGGTCCGCACCGAGAACCTGCTGCTGACCGCAGGGCAGATCTCTGTGGATCGCGGCGAGTTCGTCGCGCAGGGGATCGTGGGCGATTCGGTCACGCTCGAGCAGGCGCAGGCGTGCGCGCGTCAGTGCGCGATCAACATCCTCGCGCAAGCAAAGGCGGCCACGGGGGATCTCTCCAAGGTCAAAAAGATCCTCAAGCTCACGGTCTTCGTGGCGAGCACCGCTGACTTCACCAGCCAGCACCTCGTCGCCAACGGCGCCTCGGAGTTCATGGCGGAGATCTTTGGCGAGGCTGGGCGTCACGCGCGCTCGGCCGTCGGCGTGCCCTGTCTCCCGCTGAACAGTCCGGTCGAGATCGAGGCGATCATCGAGCTCTCCGAGGCTTGATGGTAAAGTCGCACCGCTGGCGAGCGACCTTGTTAACAAGGTCGCTCGTTGATGTCGCGCTAGCTCATCAGGGAGAGCGCCTGCTCCGCAAGCAGGAGGTGGTCGGTTCGAGTCCGGCGCGCGACCTTTCCAGATCTATTCTGTCGCAAACTTCACGCCTGGCATGCTCGAGGCGATCGCGTCGAGCTGCGTGACCTCGTCGATCATGTAGACGCCCGCCTCGGGGGTCGCTCTCGCGAGGTCTTCGACAAGCAGCGCGACCGCATCTCCGGCGCTCTGCATCCCATCCTCTGCGCGCAACTTCACGACGTGTGTCTGGCCCGACTCCGAGGTCGCCCTCGCTGTGATTTCGACCGGAGAGCTTCGCCAACGCAGGAGCAGCCTGCGCAGAATCGTGAACCAGAGCAGGAGCAACAGCGTGAATGGTCGGCTCGTCAGGATAAATGCGGGCGTGAGCAGGAACGCAAAGCGCAGGATCGAGGGCGCTGGCGACATGTAGCACGCGATGTTCTCGACGCCGGTGCTCGCTGCCAACATCGGAGGTTCCGCGAGCGGGAGGGCGACAGTGCCATGTGGCTTTTCGTAAAAGGGGAGCCTCGGGCCCTTGCTGATGCCCTGTTCTGCGACCCTCTCGCCATGCTCGTAGCGAATGGTCTCGAGCGCGAGCAAATGAGGGATCAACTTGACCATACCCTGGCCACCGCGCGAGAGCGGGCTGACGCGAATCCCGAGCTCGAGCTTTCCGCCTTCGATCGATGAGGTGGTGTTGGTGGAGAGCTGTCTTATCGCGGCTGCTCCCACGAGGTTGCTCAATCCCGTGAAGATGCCTGCGCCGAGAACAAGCACGCCAGCGTGCTCCTCGTGTGTTCCATGAAAACGATCCGTCAGGCGTTCGATGGTCTCCGGGTCGGAGGTCGTCTCGATAAACAGATGTCCTTGCTCCAGGCAGTAGGCGATCAGCTCGTCTGGAGGCGCCATCAGCGCGTCGGCCGCGTCGATCACCACGTCGAAGTTATCGGCGCCCGAGAATGTCTCGGGATCGAGCAGGTCGATGCGCGTCATCGCTGGCGCGAAGGGGTGGCGGGTGGCGACCGTGACGGCGAACCCGCGCTCGCGCAACGCGCGCAGGATCTGTGAGCCAAGGTAACCTAACCCGCCAATTAGCAGGATATTCATGACAACCTCTCGTGCTGGGCAACTCGCGATAGCGAGGTTCTCTGGGAACGTAACCCTGTTCGAGGAGATGGCGAGCAAAATCGAGAGGTTCCTCTCGAACGATCACTTGTGTGAGGTCATCGGGAAGCGCGCGCGCCATCGGCGCGCTTCCGCTGCGCACGCGTCGTCCTTTGCCTCGACGCAGCGCGCCTCGAGGTTTGCCCAGAGCTGGCCATACTCCACGTACAGCGTCCATGACCAACCGTCGCTCTCGGCAGTGGGCATGGGGACAGGCAGGGAGAGTGACTCGAAGCGCGCCCTGTTCGCGGCGACGAGTTCTGGCGCCGGGGTGGTGCTTGGGCCAACACGCCAGAGGACACCGTGCGGCGTGAGTTCGTCAGATGTGAAGCGGTTTGGCGCGAAACGATCCGTCAAAAAGAACGGTCTCCCGCTCTGTTCCAACACAGCCCTCAACCTCGGGGTATCGATCCTCGCGGCGCCGGTTTTGGGGTCTCTATTCAAAAATGGAATATCGAGCCCGCTTCGGCTTTTTATGCGCTCGACATACCAGTCGCGCCCGAGCATATGCATCTCGAGAAAGAGGATGTCAGGGCGCTGTTTGTCGAGACGCCGCGCGACCTCCATCAGGAGGAAGCGATGCGTGCCCGTGCCAAGGATCACGGCGTCTTTTGGGGCTGTGGCGAGCACATGCTCCGCGTAGAGCTCCATCGCAGGAGTGTAACGGCTTCGTGTATGTCGAATCCCCAGCACACTTCCTGTGATAAATAGCGCGAGCATGGCCGCGAGCATCCTCTTGTTCGTGAGCCAGCCTCGCTCGAACGCCATGTCGATGCCCCACGCCGCGAGGATGCTCGCGGGCACCATGGGGAGGACGTGGAAGCGCTTGATCACATCATGGGTTGTCGCGGTCAGCTCGAGGTTGAATAATCCGATAAAGATCGGTCCACACAGCAGGAAGGTCCCCACCAGGCAGGCGATGCCGATGCGCGAGGTCTGCTCGCGCGTTCGGAGCGCGAGGAAGCCGAGCGCGATCGATAACGCTCCAGCGACGAGCGAGGCCGAGATCACCTCCGAGATAAAGAATGGGATATGGAGCAGCGGCGCGGGTGCTCCGCCGGGGCCGAGCTTTCCAGTGCCATACTCCTCTCTCAAGAAGTGCGAGAGCACCTGCGCTGAGGTCTGGAAATCACCCCATACGAACGCGCTCGAGGGGTCATAAAGCGGGAAGGTCGCGTAGGGGAGCAGGCCTGAAATCAGTGCACCGGCGCCCACCAGCAGTGAGAGCCACGCACGCTGCCTTGCCTCGTTTATCCCCTGCGCGACGCCATACAACCCGACGGGCGCCATCAACACGGCGCTGTGGTGATTGCTGATGGCGAGCCCCGCGATAAGCCCTAGCAATGCGACGCGCTTGATGGCCTTCAGCGGCGCATCTGGGGCCGAGAAGAGGAGGATGAGCGCGGCGAGCAAGGCGTTCGGGGCGAACGCCTCGGCGTGGGTCGAGACGAGCCAGACCTCGGTGTTCAGGCCAAAAAGACACGCCGCCGCGAGCGCGGCCTTGCTGCCAGCGCCCCAGGCGCGCGAGGCGAACCAGAGCGTGACGCTCGCGAGCCAACCGAGCAGCGCCGTGGCGAGCGCCGCGCTATGTGCGGCGCTCGCGCCTGGTATCCAGGACATCGCGCGCAGATAGAGCACGTAGCTTGGATACCCCGGCGAGTGCGCCACACCGCCCAATTCGGAGAGTAAGACAAACTCGCCGTTGTCCGTCCCGATGATGTGCTGCGCTGCTGTCGCAACGTAGAGCGCGCCGAGGATGCCGAATGCCAGCATCGCGAAGCGCCCGGTATGTCGATCCTCTGGCTCTTGCATCACGTCATCTTTCAGGGTCGTGAGGAGGGCCGATTATAGCCACAGAACCGTGCCGAGGGCACCTGCGCGTGAGCAAAGGCGCGATAGGCTAGACGTTGTCTGTTGGGGTAGGCGCGGGAGGATCGAGCAGCTGCGTGCGCCATTCTTGTGGGATGGGGGAGGGGGCCTGGGTCTTGTAGTCGAAGTGGACGACGACGACCTCGGCGCGAGCTGCGCGCTCATCTCCTGCCATGATCCATTGCTCCACGGTCATACTCGTGGTGCCAAAGCGCGTGATGCGAGTCTTGACGCTGATCTCATCGAGCAGCTTGACCTGACGCTCGAAGTCGATCGCCACGCGCGCGAGGATCAGGTTCCCCATCCTCTGTCGCACGCGGTTAAAGAGGTCCACGCGACCGATCTCGGTGTAGCTGACGAGGACGGCGTTGTTGACGTGCCCGAGCGCGTCGGTGTCGACAAAGCGCGCCTGAATGGGGGTGGTGATAAAGCGACCTGGGAGGTCCTCCTGGCTCGCGTTGCTCATGATGTTCCTCTCGAGATCGAGGTCGGGGAAAGAAGTAACCAAAGCTCTCGATCTCCTTAGTCAATGCGGAGCTTGGCGGCAAGCGTGACATCGATGCGGTCCTCTTGTTGAAAAGTTTTTAAACTTTTTTGGATATGACGAAATAAAAACCGAGAAACACCCCGTTACTACCCCCGACAGCCGCGAAGTGCGTGGCGTTAACTTTAAAAGAACAACAGGAAAACGATCATCATGCTCACCTTATCGACCATATCGAACCTCTTGCTGGCCAACGGCCAGCCCGTGCTCCCCATGGGGAACATGCGTCGAGAGGAGCGAGCCGCGCTCACGAGCGTGGCGGGTTGTTTTGAAGGCGGAGCACCCGATTGGTTTGGCTGTGAAGATTGCTTTACAGGCGATCATCGCGAACCAGGAAGTGACCGTCCAATCCTGGATGATATAAGGAACCGGCGAGGCCGCGGCGCAGTGACATAAGCTGCACGCGGCAAGCGTGAAGGGTCAGTCAGACAAAGACGCCCTCGCCGGTTCCTGCCAAAGCAGGAGTCGGCGAGGGCGTTTTTTGTTGCCCTGAGGATCGCAGATAGACGCGGTCCGCCCGGTCGAAAAGAACAGGAGCGTCAGGTGGTGCGACAGGTGCAGAAAATCCATGTCCGGTTCGACGGGCGCTCGTATGACTGGGCGCCCGAGAGGCTTGGCCTGGATAGTCGGAGCATGGCGCTGGCGAGTGATCTCGAGATCAAACGTAGCGTGGCAGAGATGCTCGATGTGGAGCTCGAGAGGCTCGAGTTTCACGCCATCGACCGGCCCGAGACAGGAAACATCATCCTGCGCCCCGAAGCGGTCTACGGATAGCTTCGGGGCGAGGAGAGAGACATACAAGGACTTCGGCGTCCGCCCGCGTTATTAACAGCAGCTTGGGGAAGTGGGGGCGGGCGGATGCCGAACCTCGGAGGGGTTGCCCTTTCATCGCGTTCACAGCGAGATGATGGGCAGCTCCTCCGAGGAGAGTACATAGACCGAAAGGGGCGCCGCGCCCCGACATGATGAGCCTACAAACGTCGAGGTCCATAACCTTGAGGTCGTCGGTTCGAGTCCGGCTCCCGCTATTTGTAGCGGGATAGCTCAGATGGTGAGAGCGCAAGCACGTCTTACTGCTCATCGAACTCGCGCGGTGTCTTTTGTTTAAAATAAGCATCAAAGTTTTTGATGTTTTTCGGGTGGGCTGTGTTTGCAGTCTTGCTCGAAAATGTTTGCCGCCATAGCTCAACGGGGAGAGCGCCTGGTTGAAGCCCAGAAGGAGATCGTTCGAGTCGGTCTGGCGGCATCGCGGGGAGGAAATACCTCCCCGCACCATACCACCATAGCTCAACAGGGAGAGCGTCTGGTTGAAGCCCAGAGGGAGATCGTTCGAGTCGGTCTGGTGGTACTCAGGTGCATGGAGGCATGCGCCAAAAACATAACCTCGCGCCCAAACAACAGGGGCTTACACACATACTAGCTCATCTGGATAGAGCGACGGCTTCGGGAGCTGTAGGTAGCAGGTTCGATCCCTGCGTATGAATCCTGTGCCCCTGGGACTCGCGCGAGGCCAACTTCGAGTGACTGATCAAGACAGAGGCGATACCTTCGACCAGAATAAATCCGCGACAAGACAGGTCGTCGAAGACCCCCACGGCAGGCCATCCTCGAAGGAGAGGTCGCCTCCCTAAGATGTGGAGGACGTATGTCATCGACCGATGACACACCGCGCCCTGACCGCGAGCACCGGATGCTAACTCCAATTGGTAGAGTACGGTCTCATAACCCGTGGGTTGTCGGTTCGAATCCGGCGCGTCTTCGAGGTCTCTCGCGGTGCGCGCGACTCGTGCGGTGTGATTTTGGTTCCCAGGGGTCTTGTCTCCTTTGCTGCTCTCGAGCAACATTCGAGTGATTCTCTGGGGGTGGCGCGCAAACTCTCGCGCCCCGATAGCTTCGGTCCTGTCGCGTTAGTTCAATAGGTAGAACGCCCGCCTGCCAAGCGGAGGGTTGTCAGTTCGATTCTGGCACGCGACGCCAATAAGGACAGCACAAACGAGGCGACTCGCGCGAGCGGTGTCGCCCCTGGAGAATCACTCTCTTCATACCCAAAACGAGCCTTGTCTCGGGCTACTTTCCGAGCTCCTCGAACACGCGGGTCTTCCTCGCGTATCTTTACGGAGCGCGCTCTACGCCCGAGTCCTTTTTCTCATCAGGCCAGACACCAACCTCGCCTGATACCCGCTCCTTTCCAGACGATGGAGGGGCTTTCTCGAATATGCTCTCTGGAGTTCGCTGCGGCGGCGCCACGAGAGGTGTGAACCTTTGGATTTGGAGGTGTTTTCATGTCTTTGACGATGAATGAAGAACAGGACCTGCGTCTCGAGATGCTCAACATGCTCCTGACGACACCCCATAGAGATTTGCAAAAGGTCGCATCCCTTCACGGCGAGCTGCTCGAGGTCGACCCGATCTTCTACGGGCACCTGGCGACCTGGTATCAGTCCAACGGGGATGTGCGCGATCACAAGGAAGTGTTCGTGGGCAATTTGCTCACGAGCGCGCGCAGCGAGCATCGCGGCGCGGGGTTCGTGCTTTTGCAGCGGTTGCCGCCGTACCAGGTCTCGCGCGTGATCGATTACATGAAGCGGGTGCGAAAGAAGGTGCCGCGCTCTGCGCGCACCGCGGTGACCCGTTATCTGCGCCATCGCGAGGCAGATCCGGTGTTCTTTGATCGGGCCGTGTTGCGCCAGCGCAAGGCGATGAAGCATCTCTACGCGACGCTTCATATCAAGCCGAGCGAGCGCGCCAACAAGATCCTGTTCGCCAAGGAACCTCCCGAGGACAGCCTCGCGTACAGGCTCAAGGTGATCGCCGCCGAGGAAGATCCGGTGCGCCAGGCGATGCTCATCGCGGAGTATCGCGTGCCGTTCGCTGTGGCGGTTGGCGTGGTGCGTCAGATCACGCCCACGGCGTTGCTCGCGCTCGTCAACGCGATGAGTCCGCAGGAGATCATCAACAACCTCAAGGCGCTCAAGGCGCGCGGTGCCTTCGAGCACGAGCAGGTCAAGCAGGTGATCAGCGGCAAGCTCGATACAGGCAACAAGCCTGGCAAGCGTACCGAGCGTGTGCAGGCGATGAAGACGCGCGTGGCCGTCGAAGCGGCTGGTGGCATCGACGAGGAGATCCAGGAGAAGCTCGAGGAGCTTTCACAAAAGCAACTCGAGGCCAAGGGGCGCATCCGTCGTCCCACCGCGCTCCTTGTCGACAAGTCCTCGTCGATGGATCAGGCGATCGAGATCGGAAAGCGGCTCGCGGCGATGATTTCATCGATCAGCGAGGACGCGCTCTACGTCTGGGCGTTCGATACGATGCCCTACCACGTCGAGGCTGACGCTCCGCGTCAGATCGCGCAGTGGGAGGCCGCGTTTTCGGGGCTCAGGGCGGGCGGGGCGACGAGCCTCGGCGCGCCGATCGAGGCGATGCGTCTCGCGGGACAGGTCGTCGAGCAGATCATCTTCGTCACCGACGAGGGTGAGAACAGCTCGCCATACTGCGTGGATGCGTACGCACGCTACGCCGAGCAGATGAAGGTCGAGCCAGATGTGATCTTGCTGCGCGTGGGGGCTGCAACGAACTACACCGAGAAGCAGCTGCGCGCGAAGAAGATCAACGTCGATACGCTCACATTCAGCGGCGATTACTACTCGCTGCCAACGGTGATTCCGATGCTTTCGCGTCCTTCTCGCCTCGAGCTCTTGCTCGAGATCATGGCCACGCCGCTCCCCGAGCGCCTGGCCTGCTGAGGCGGCCAGGGCAGACTCACCAAAAAAAACGCCAGCGCCCCTCGTACAGCGAGGGAGCGGGGAGTGATTTTGCACAAATGAGCAAAATCACTCCCCGCTCCCTCGCTCGATGGGTGAGGTGCGCGCTGTTCACCGGGAGGTGATAAAATGGATAACGCATACAAGGTCGGCGCGCTCGCGGTTCGCGAGCGCTGGTCGATGGTCAAGCCGGATGCGCTCGCGGCGCTCGATGCGACGACGTCAGAAGAGATCGCGATTTTTGCAGGATCGTTCGACTCCGTGCAGAACGTCTTCACGCACCTGGAGAAGGATTACAGCTTCGCGCCCTCTTCGCTCGAGGGCGCGCGGATCTGCTTCGAGAACTGCCCCGGCGATGATGACGCCAAACACCTCGAGGAGCTTCGCAGCTTCGTCGAGGCAGGGGGTTGGTTGGTGACGTCTGACTGGGCGCTAAAGAATGTCGTGGAGAAGGCGTTCCCGAACACGGTGCGCTGGAACAAGGCTTCGACCGGAGACGAGGTGATCGGCGTCGAGCCGATGCTCGCCACGCTCTGGGACGAGGTGACGGTGCCCGGCGTCGAGCCGCAGTGGTGGCTCGAGGGGGCGAGCTACGGCATCGAGGTGCTCGATCCTGAGCGCGTCGAGGTCGTCGCCGC